ACATGTGCACAAGGTGGGAGATGAAACTGACATTGATAAGTTTTTACTATTTTTTCTGATGTTTGAATAATGTATGTATATTACATATATGAATCTTGTTTTTGATCACAAAGACAAGTAAAACTTAGGATGGTTTGGAGGTTTCTCGTTTATTTCAAGATATTTTCTTTTAAAATTTGAGTCAGGTTATCAAAGTTATTATGCTCGCTTTTAAAAAAAATTTCTGTTATTATAATACAGTATTTAAGTCCAGATGTTAATAAACTTAGGCAAGTGAGGCACCAGTCAGGCTACCACTTTTTAATTAAGTTATAAGGTAAGATATTCATACAACACAGAAGACTTAAAATTGCCTTAAAATGGAAAGTTCAGTCTTTTTACATATTACCTACTTTTCAGATTTCCAGCTCTTGCCTAACAAGTTTAATGCCCCCTCTCTAACAGGTTCTCAGGCTGCCTTCTCATTATTGGTAAGGCTATCCTCCTGGGTTATTTCCCAACCACCCTATCAAGGTCCATATCTCTATTATAGCAATGACTTTTACTTTGTTAGAACCGCTGCACACATTCAGCTCCAAGAGGGGAAGAACTACTTCATTCATCTTTCAACCAGTGAAGGTTAATAAAGTGCTCTGCATATAGCAAGTATATAGACACAAAGTTTGTTGGATGGCTACATAAAACAATGGCCTAGATTTTGCTTCATATTTCAAAATTCAGAGAAATAGAGTGTTAAAAGGCATAAGATCAAAAACAGATCACTGTAGACTGAGTACAAAGAACATTTAAAAAATTAAAATTTAAATTAATACTAATGTGAAGAACATGACCAAATAAGTAACAAGTGCCTTCAGAAATATACATCTACAAAGAATACTTTAAAATGTACCTCCAAAGGCACATAATTCCAATTTTTATTAAATGGAGAGACTTTTTGAAAAAATCCAAAGCTATCCCATCACTGGAAGAGCCCTCCACCATTTGGTTATGTTAAGCAAGGTTCAATATCCATAGATTGTGCAATTACTTATATTGCAAAATAAACTTTCTATATAAAGAAAACATAAATTGAGTTTGATATATAATTGTTTTTACCTTATACCATATTTCAATAAATTTTACAAGTTACTATGTGTTGCCATTTAATATTTGCAATATTGTACATTATTTATGAAGTAGCTACTTCCAGAAGACTGATATTCTCCTCCATACTGTGTCTTTGGCTAATACTACAGATGTGATTCAGTAGGAACCATATGACCAATCTGATTAAAATTCTTGGTTTCTCCAAGCCTGAGACCTTACTCAGTTCCTGAGTTATAACGCTGACTTGCTCTTCAAGTTAGATGTTGCCTAGATATTTTTCGTAAAACAGGGCTATTCAATGTAATTTCTTTTTCTTGAGATATACAAGTGTTTTTGATACAAAAACATATATATCCACATAAGAATAAAAACATCAAAATAACGATTATATTTTATATAATTTAAATGACAGAACTAAAATATGCCCATTACTTTTTTAAATGCAACATACTTTTCTTATTTTGCTGTTTGAAGTAAAGAGGAAACCTCTGTAACAGTTTTAAATACATAGAATTTAACTTATGTTAATATTCTGTTATAAAAAATAACTACCATATAATTTAAAATATGCAAAAGTAATCAGTTCATTGAAATTTATATTTAATAACATTTGTATCAATGAAAAACTGTAGGCTTGCCAAGAAACTTCTAAGGTTTAAATGAGAAGTAAAAAAAACCCAAAAAACAAAAAAAACCTGGTTCAGGCTTCATTTATTGCTACATAAAAATGACTACTTCTAGGGTCATCTGGCCTGTCGTCAATCACTCTTAGAAGTGGTAAATACAGTGGTACTCTTTGGAAAGAAAGGAGGAAAAATAATGCACTGCAATACAAAAATATTACCTATTTATAAATTATTAAAGGTTTATAAAACACATACCGAATCACGTTCTCGCTATAAAAACAATATACTTAAATGTAGAAGCACAAAATCCTGAAGCACCCACAATTATGTTAAGAATACCCATTTAATCAAGAAAAAAAATCATATATATATATATAATAATTTGAGAAGAAAAAAGGCAAAATTCTGATTTTAATCCAAACAGAGTTTATCTAGTCATGGAGGCAGGTCTCCACTCCAATTATACAAATAAGTTATCTGCCTTGTTTAAAGAATTATATTAAGTCTAAGATCTAGAAACTGGTCTGTGCCATTGAAATACATTTTTAACAGACTTTAGAAACCAGTAAGCTAACTGGCATATACAGAAAACAGATATTTCCATTATAAGGTTACATCTGAAAAGAGCCTTCATTAAAATCGATCTTGGCATAAAGAGGTATTCCTAAGCGCAAATACTTTGGCATAGCATTTAAATAACAACATAAATGCTACAAATTTCTTAAAGACAGAAGAAATCCTTGTCTTTTTGTATTTGCATTAAGTGTAAAGTTTCAAAAACTGTGGTTCTCTTAAATTTTTAGAGATTGAAATTGTGCTAATGATTTAAAAAGATCATTGCTGCCTAAAAAAGCAAAGCTTGTGTGTTTCAAACATAAAACATATTTACTTTTAGTGTTTGTGGCATTTTGGGTTTAGTGCTAGAATTAGTTTTAACAAATCAGTTTGTAATATATAATATGATTCACTAATATCTTGTCACTAAAAAAGATTTTCTATAATGAAAAACACTAATTCTATTTCTAATGGTAAACTAGTAGAGTTGGAGGTCCCACCATGGATCACAGGGATTAGAGCGCTATCAAGATCATTTAGATAATGCTGAGGAAGAAGTCGGCCTTCAGATCCTGCCTGAAATTCAACCTGGAAAAAAAAAAAACTTTGTAAATCAACCCTGGATAGTGAGCAATCTTGTTTAGCTCAGCAGATAAATATAAACTAAAAATATCATTCAGTTTAAAGCATGTTAAGAAAATACTTTTTACATTCTCTTATATTTCTTTTATCCACCTACTTACTACAAATTATAATTGTCCCTCCCACAGATATCATAAAAATAAAAAATTGCCACTAATTCATACTTTAGGTTTCTTCTCAATGAACATGTAAACACACTGGAGGACTAAAGTTTTGAATGATTACTAACATGACTTAAAGTCCCATGGTATTAAAAAAAAGTAATCTACTTAAAATATTTTGAATTTGTTGTTGTAATAATATTTAATATCTGAATTTAATGTTGCTGGTGAAAATTACATTTTAATACAGTTGACAAAAATATTAACAGTGCTTATTCAAATAAATAATTATCAGATGCTTCCTTGAGAAAGGAATTTTTAACTGAGATGAAAATATAAGTTCTTGCCAATAAGAACTATGAGTGCAACTCATCCTGGCTGAAGAAAAGCAAACCAGCACATGAACTCATTCTTGTTTAGATAAACCATTCTAATGAAGAACCTGCTTTGAAATATATTATATTGGATGCTGGAAACAGAAATGCACATTAAAATAATACTGGAGCACCATTTTTCACCTATCAAATTGGCAAAGTTCAAAAGTTTGATCACATACTGCTTTGACAAGGTACTGGGGGAAATGCTCACAAATTGTGGTAGAAATATAAACTGGTATAATCGCTACTTGAGACAATATGGTAATACCTACTGGGTTCATACTTGGACCTGACAATTCTATTTCTAGGAATGTTTCTTACAGACTCACATTTGTGCAAAAGCAAAATATTGTGGATAACTTAAATGTCAATCAGTACATACCAAACATGCGTAAGAACTAGTTAAATTATGGTACATTTATATAATAAACTACTACAATGCAACTGTTAAGAAGCATATGTAATAACATGAAATATCTGTAAGGTATATTAAATTAACGAAGCAAGGTAAAAAAGAAGTGTAAAGGAGGAACAAAAAGGACACATATAATTATTTGCTTGGACATGCATAAAATCACAATGAATACATAGAAACGGGTAACATTTGATTGCTTGACCAGGAAGGAAGAATGAGAAGGGAGTACGGCGTTGGATTAAAGGGTTTGGAGATAAGAGTAGGAAGGAGATCTTTTCAAGTCTATTACCTTACACAACTCTGCTGGGCACCATGTACACTGTAGCCCGAAGTTAAGGGGCCAGTTACATAGACTACAGTGTGAATGCTGCTCTCTGGAAATGTTCAGTGCAGTGGTCCTGTTACACTTTCAGACTTCTGCAATTTTAAATCATGTGAATACAGACTCTTCAAAATAATAAATTTTAAAACCTACTTATCAAGCAGGACTGTTGTGGGGCAGAGGTCAGCCAGTATGGCCCATTGCTTTTGTAAAAAAAAATTTCACCGGAACACAGCTTATTAGTCTACATACTGCCTATGGTTGCTTCTGCACTGTAGTGCCAGAGCTGAGTGACTGTGAAAGAAATCATACAGTCCACAATGCCTATAATATTTATTCTCTAGCCTTTAACAAAAAGAAGTTTGCTGCCCTCCTGTGGAGAGTAAAGGAGATAATGTACATGAAGTGTGTGTACACAGTGATGTTCTACAAATTTTTGTTGTCTTCATTCCAAAATAAAATGTTACAGGAAAAAACTTGATTATTTTAACATATGATACATTCATTTCAAAAATACATCACAAAAACATGCCTCACCATATCAGTGTCAATGGAAACTCTGAGGCCAATTTTATTCATCCCATTACTCTTTAGAGTTTTCAGGTGAGGGCACAGTGCAGCACTACAAGCCATGGCTATTTCTTTTGCAAAGTGATAATGAGTTGCTGAAATAGATAAATCCTGGTCCTTTAGAAAGTAGAACACCTGAAAGGTATTTAATTAGGAAATAAATCATAATTAAAAGTATCTTTAAAAATGCAACAATTGCTACTTTCAATTCAACTTTATTAAAATTCCAAGGTTAGTTGCATGAAATTCACTAGTTAAGGGCACTATATATATTTTAAATTTTCATACACACATACACATACAAACACACCCTGATCTATACTGTAAGTATAGATCTTAAGACCAAAGGTATGATATTTGGGAATGACTTAGCTCTTTTTGCCTCAAGTTAACCTGCAGCAATGAAAGCCTTGTTAACTCGGTTTAGAGAAGGATACTAATGGGCCCATCCTGTAAGTTCACCATCCTATAAGGACATCGTAATAAAGTTAAGATCAAACAAATAAATAATATTTTATAATTTCTATATCCTCTATAGTTTCTACCTTGTACATGCAGAAAATCACAGCAAATACATACACAAGCAGTAACACTAATTGCCTGACCCAGGTGGTGCAGTGAGTGGGGAGTATGAGGGTGGCCTAAGGGCTTGGGAGTCTATAGTCTCATATCCCTTTCTTAAAAAAAAAAAATATATATATAATAATTAAAACATGCAAAAATAACTTTAATATGTGAATGCTGATTACAAATTGATGTCAAGAAAATGTTTTAATTTTTGTAAAATAAGAGAAAATGAAAATAATATGGTCAGATAACATATACTATATAAACAAAGATAGCAATGCTACCAGAACTTAACTGTGGAGCTGGCAGGCATCATACCACAGCCTGGAATAATCCTATGGAATTCCAAGTCAGGTGTTATAAAAGGCAAGTCTGGGGTAGAAATATGTATGTCTCAAAGTGTAATCTAAAAAGTTTAATAAGCTGCACTTAAACATTCAGAGGTTGAGTACTACAAAATCTCCCAGTTAAAAAAACAAAAATCATATCGAAACACCATATGAAGGGAAGGAACCTTCTTTCTCAGTTACCTCAGTACACTTTACAATCTTGTTATCAGTTTCAAAATCGGCTTCCAGTTTTATTTTTTCACTTGGGAATCCTTGTAATGATATTCCATCCACAGAACTAATAACACTACAAAATAATACATCAGAATTATTACTACTAATGTGCCTCTTAGGAAATGAATTATTAGATTTGAGCAAATGAAATAAGGAGAAAAATTATGAAAGTAATAAATTTATAGTAGCAGTAAGATATCTCAATTATATACAAAATAATTAAAACTGTAGTTTATATTCATTTACCAAGATTTCTTGATTGTGTAGCAAATCATATCTACATTTTCATATACCTAGTTCAGACCTATGGTTTAAAATACATTAGTCTCTGAACACAAAAGCTATCTCACAAATTTCAAAAACTCTATTTTAGAATCCTTCAGCATTAGCTCTCTTCTCCTTTTGCTCCAGACCCCTTAGCCATTCTCAAACAAAACAAAACAAAACAAAAAAACACAAAGGTAACTGAAAAGAGGAAGGAGTGGCAGTAATATTCTGTAAGGCCTCTAATGTATATATTATTAAATCCAGTTGTTTGTATTTACAGTGAATCAACAGAAATCAAAATAAACATCCAAATGGAATCCTTGACAAAAATAGGTACCATACAACAGGAAATGTGTCTTGCTTTTCTCAGCCCTGGCATCAAGCCCACACTGCTACACAATGGACATTTTGCCACTGGCCCCCTCCCAACTGACCACCCTTCAATCCTGGCCAAGAAAACACACATTGAAGCTTGTTATGCTCATGTCTGAACAAACGGGCTGCATTCATTAATTAGAGTATAAGCATTTAAATTCATGGTATAATTCTGTACTTATTCATAATACATTTCATTTTATTAATAGGATGTTTTTATCCTTCCCCCTTCCATCAAATCAATTATATTTTAGTAACAAAAAGTGCCTACCCTGTGTTTCCTTTTTCTTCAGAATCTACCCAGCAGATATCCACATATTCTCTCAGGTCCACAGCATCAACTTTCCCACATGTAATTTTAAAGTCTTTTTGTTCTCGGAGAGCTAGCCTCAAGCCATCCATGGTCTCTGGAGTTATTTGTACCATTAAGCCATCTAAAAATGAGAGTTATGTTTCACATTTAGTTTACTAAATATCAATTTATATGTCTAAGCCATAAAATTTGTATCAAGATATGCTCTGTGCAAGATATGTTTTAAATTATCTTCAATGTTTTTTTCTATTAGATAAAGATTCTCTTTTAATGGCAAAAACTGGTAATTTTTTTTAATGGTAAAAAAATTTTAACCATTTAAAAAAAATAAATGATTAAAAAATTTTCCACTTTTGGCTATGATACCAAACTAGCTCTTTCATAACAACCATAAAACTAGACACAATATATGAGGCAATTGTTTCAGGTAGTGGACAATAGAAAGTGCAACACTGCGATTCCTAGAGGAAAACTCGGTAAGTGAGCCCACAACTGCCCAGGCTCTCTGCTTGGAGACAGTTTCTACACGGTGATCCATGAAGCCTGCAATGTCCCAACTGGGCTAAGAAGCCAGAAATAACAGTCCAAGGAAGCCTGGAACCTGGGGTCAAGACACTGAGGAGGGAGGCACCAGAATACTGTCTGGAAGGGTCCCTTTACATCCTTGGACTAGAACTGGGGAAAAGGGCTGGATGTTGAGTTTGATTAGCAATGGCCAATGATTTAATCAATCATGCCTACATAATGAAACTTCCATGAGAACCTTAAACATCGGGGTATGGAGAGCTTCCACACTGGCAAACACGTCAAGGTGCTAGAAGGGTAATATGATGGGACGGTGGTATATCTGGAGAGGGCATGAAATCTCCATATGCATCTCTTCCATTTGGTTGTTCCTGAGTTTTATCCTTTACAAATGCTTTATAATAAACCAGTAAACATAAGCAAAGTGTTTTCTGAGTTCTGTGAGCCATTCTGGCAAATTATTGAACCTGAGGAGGAAGGAATGGGATCCTCAGATTTAGAGACAGTTAGTCAGAAGCACAAGACACCCCAGACTTCTAACTGATATTTGAAGTGGGGGTGGGCAGTCTTGTGGAACTGAGCCCTTAACTTATGGGGTCTGTCCTAACTCTGGGTAGTTAATGTCAGAATTGAATTGTTGGGCACCTAGTTGGTGTCAAAAAACTGGAAAATTGATTAATGTAAGGACCAATACCCATACATTTGGTACAGAGGTGGTGTGAGTAAAAACCTCTCATTGGGAGTACTAAGTCACTGATGCTGGATCAATTCCTATTCAAATGCAGAAAAATGTCAATGGTTCCATTCCTTACACATGGGTATAAACAAATTACAGATCAATTAAGTGTTGAAAGGCAAAACTTCAAATCTTTAGGAACAAAAAAAAGAGAATATCTTTTTAACCATACAATAAGAAAGAACGTTAACCATAAAAGATTAATAAATTAACTGCATTAAAATGAATAACTAGTAAAGACACTGCAAAATGGTAGAGGAACTATACAATGTATAAAAAATTATGTAACTATAAATCAGTTAGAAAAAGATAAAATGTGATAGAAAAATGGGCAAAAGATGTGAATAGGCATTACAGAGAGAAAACATACGTCCAGTAAATATGCTATAAGATGCTCTACTTACTAGGGGTATGCTAATTATGATCATGTTCAGAGATAATTACCAGACTGATCAATATTTAGTAGTCTGACAAAACTACATTTGGACAATATGTAGATCAATGTGTAATCTTACATATTCTGAGGCAAGTGATTTTGCAGTATCTTGTAAAACCGAACATTTACTAATCTAATGGCCAAGAAATTCTACTCTTGGATATATACTGTAGAGAAACTCTTAGACATGTGCCCAACGTCCACACACACACCAATAAGAATATTACTAGTACCACTGCCCAGCATAGCAAAAAAAAAAAAAAAAAAACCAACCCAGATGTTCATGTTCAGAAGATAAATTGTCATACATTCACAAAATATTTAATAGCATTGAAAATGGGTAAGCTATAGTTGCTAGCAACAATATGCATAAATTTTAGACATATAATGTTATGTGAAAATAAGTTCCATACATATTGTTTAGGCATATGTTTATACAGAGTAAAAAAAAAAATTAAGCAAGAGGATGATAAACACAGTATTCAGTCTAGTAGTTAATTCTCGGTGAGAGGAGGAAGAAGTCATAAGTAGATCCAAATACTGGTCATGTTCTAGTTCTTGAGCTGGGTAATGATTTCACAGAAGTTTGTGGTATCCTGCCTTATAATTTACATATATTTCATATAAGTATCAAATAGTTTCAAAAAGAAATGGAAAACGTCTTTACATTAAAACAATCTTAAAGATGAAACTCACCTTCAACGATGCTGGACTTAGCAAGAAATCCTGAAGATGTTTTTAGAGCTCCATTGAATACCACAAAACTTGCACCTGTCACTGATAAAAAAAATACAACAATTATGTTTTAACCTGCTTTATTTTATGTTATATATTTTAAATGCATAATGTGGAACATGGCACATTTTAAGTACTTGATAAATGCCCACACCACTTACATTACAAAGCTAATAAAAATAACAAACAAAACAAAATTAAGATAAAATATTACATAAAGGTAATTTAATGCTTGTATCTAATAATTAATTGATGGACTATTGAACTATTTAAAATCTTTGCGTCTGTGTCAGGAGGGTGTGAGAAATCGAACATCCACTACTAGTGAGAGCATAAATCAGAACAATCTCTGGGAGGACAACTTGATAATTATCTGTTAAAATTATAAATACACTTATCCTTTGATGCACCAATTGCAATTTTAGGAATTAATGGCATGTATACAAGGCTATTTACAGTACATTTTTATAAACAGCCAAGGACTGGTAACAGCTACGTCTATCCACAGGGACAGTTGAATGATGTACACATATAAAGTGGAAAATGACGTGGCATGCAAAAATTCTTTATATACTAACATAGAATAATATCCAAAGTGTGTTAATAAAAGAAAAAGCAAGGTGCAGAATGGAACAAATGTTATGATTTGTTTAAAAAAGTATAAGTGTGTGTGTGTGTGTGTGTGTGTGTGTGTTTGCTTGCTTGCTTAAATATATGTCTCAGAAAGGATATACAAGAAACTGATAACCCTGGTTTGGTTGCCTGTGCAGAGGGTAAGAGGATAGTCTGAGGGTCAAGAGGAAAGAAGATTTTGCACTATAAATACTTATACCTCTTGAACTTATACCACATAAATATATACCGATTCAACAAATACATATTAAATAGTTGTAAATTTTTATTTTTTAATTTTTTTTATTGTTAGTTTCAGGTGTACAGAACAATACAATAGTTATCCTTTTCACCCTCACAAAGTAACAACTCCCCTTCCCCCATCTACTGCCCTCCCACCCCCCGAATAGTTGTAAATTTTAATGACAAAAATATCAATGACATGTTAAGTGAAAAAAGCACAATACATAAGTGTAAATATCCAGTATAAAATCATCTATTTAATATCTATTAACATAAAAAGGAAACACAGTAAAAATGTCAACAATGGCTATATCCTAACATTTCTTTTTCTTTTTCTACTTTTTAAAACATATTCTCTAAGCTTACTACAAATAAGCATACATTACTTTTACAATAAGAGGAAAAAATTTTACTAGCTACCAGAATGTCAGACTACTTTAAATACATTATTTTATACTACTGTATTAATTTTATGGACTACTTACTTCCACTTAACTTTCGATTTGACAGGCCCTCTACTGCAACGGTTTGGTAATCACAGCAGTCACTGAGGCCATTTAGCCAGAGCTGAGAGTAATTCACTCAGATATACTGCTCACTTTACCACCTTTATCATTTTTATAGTCACAGTTTTATAAATCACCCTACATTCTTATCTACCTTGTGCTCCCCTGATTAAGAGGGCCAGAGCAAAGAGCAAACAAAGGTGAAAAAAACCTCATTCTAGAAAGAAATAACTGAAAAAATAAGACTCCCACCACATGGGATATACTAAGCCTGAAGATATCTAAATACAGTGTTTCAAGTCTTTAAACCTAATATAGCCCAAGAGAAAAGCACAAATTAGAAGCACTTTAAAAATCTGTTTGAATAGCTGAAATTTTAAAGCATACTGTTTTATCACCATCAATTCAGCAAATAAGTAAAATATATATTTTTTCCCCTTTGAAAGGAATTCTATTTATTGAGGTGGTTTAATGGATTAACACTAGGAACCAACACTCACCTTTTCTAGGATGGCCAGTGGCACTGTTCGCCTGTGTTTGATAAACTCCATCATTCTGTATACAGACTAGGTGAGAATCTGCTTCTGTACTAAAACTAGCTCCAATACTAATGACATGCTCATTAGAAGAATTTATTACTTTCATTACCTGGAAAAAAACAATACTCATTTAGAAACACTTTTAACATTTTATGCCTTCATCAGTTACAATAATTCAGAGTCACATTTCTGACCAGTTTCATAACTATCAAGCTTTGGTCTGGACAACTCCCTAACAATGTGATAGAAACAAATGTATTAAGATAAAATCACCTCACCAAGACATATAAACAACCAAAGCATCCTTCAACAGATGACTGGATAAAGAAGATGTGGTATATACACAATGGAATACTATTCTGCCATAAGAAAAGATGAAATAGTACCATTTGGGACAACATGGGTGCATCTTGAGATTATTATGCTAAGCGATATAAGTCAGACAGAAAAAGTCAAGAACCATATGATTTCACTGATATGTGGTATATAAAGCTGAAAACAACAAAAGAACAAGACAAATGAAAAAACAAAAACTCATAGACACAGACAATAGTTTAGTGGTTACCAGATGGTAAAGGGCGGGAGGCAGTAGATGAGGGTAAAAGGGATCAAATATATGGTGATGGAAGGAGAACTGACTCTGGGTGGTGAACACACAATGTGATGTATAGATGATGTATTACAGAATTGTATACCTGAAATCTATGTAACTTTACTAACAATTGTCACCGCAATAAACTTAAAAAGATAAAATCACCTCAATTAATAGATAAAACAGTAAGAAAAACAGATGAAAAAATAGAATTAAACAAATGCCTTATTAGGAAACAAATTTAAAATTTCAAATATTATATTTTACCATTATACAGAGGGTGCCAGAAAACTGTATACACACTTTAAGAAAGGAAAATTATATTAAAATTGTAATACTCAACATATACCAATAACAATAGATGAATGCAATATTTGACGTCTGCAATTATAAGAGGTGCTCAAAGTGGTTACCATCAGCATCCAGACACTTCTGATTACGGCAAACTATGGCTTAAGCAACGCTGACCAAAGTATCCACTTGTATACATTATTTTGGCACCCCTAGTATATTAGATAGTGTGATTAAAAACAAATTTAATTTGAAAGACTTCTAAGGAAATCTAATGTTCAATAATTATATCGAACATTTGAATAAAGCTATCATACTCACATCATTGTATTTTTTCCGAGGTATTTTTATGCAGCTTTTCCCCATTTCCATGTGAATCAACAGCTGATCTATATTATGCAAGGTATACTGGTAATTTCGAAGGTCCTACATAAAATAATGACATTTTCATAAACTTTAAACTACTACCTGCACTATTATCCTGCACATTTACTCATTTATTAAATCCATTTTTAAGAGTATCCATCATTTTAAGACTTGTGATACGTAACTGTCAAAATGCCATCCAGAGAGCACTACCAATTTTTAAAAAACCAACTAATCCTTCCAGCTACTCCACAATAATGATATTGGGCTGTCAGAAAAGTCATGACACATTTTTGCAATGAAAAACAGAAAGAATACGTCATGACTTTTCCGACAATAGTATTTGGGGTGATCTCCTCTTTCTAGTTACAGATCTTCCAAAACAGAATAGGTCTTTAAACTGAATATTATAAATAAAAGCAAGTCCACTGAAATACTTTCTTCTGGTAATAGGTAAAACCAAAATTACAGAAATTACAGGTGGAAGGGAACCTGAGACATCATCCAATCCAACCCTTCCTATTGTAAACAAGAAAACTTAGGCCACAATTTGGTCTCAATCACCAAACTTAGTGACTTTACTAACACTTTTTTCTAAAGCATCAAAAGCTTCAACATTTGTGTAAATCTCACATTAGCTGAATTTGTAAGTACTACCATAGAATAGATTGAAAGGCAATTTAAAATCAGCTACACATAAATTAGATGTGTTCTAAAAAACAATTAATTAAAAACAGAGTATGTTTATGTTAAATGAATTAGGATTATAAATAAACTTTCATAAATATACCAAATTAAAATAGGAAAATATAAGTGTGTAAAATTTAATAAGTTTTTAAAGTAGCAATATAAGAACGTTCAATGAAGTAGTTCAATTACTCACAACAAGTAAGTTCATAATAGTGTGTCCTATTTCTCCAAAAAGAGGTTTTCGGCCTCTGATACTTGTTAGAGGAGCAGGGTATGCTATACATAAGAAAGGAAAACTGGTTACTGTCCGAGAAACTCCCAAAGTCTTGAATTTATTACCATTAATTCTCATTTTTCAAATATTATGGATGAATACCTCCTAATCATTTCTTTGGGGAAAGTGAGCTATGACATTAACCCATACTGTGCATCCACTAGATGCTACATTGAACTGGCAAGTTTACATCCATTATCTTATTGAAACCCTGTAAGAACCTGATGAGGCAAGTATATCAATCCCTATTTTACAAATGGGAAAGTAGAGACACAGAGATTACTAAACTTGCTTTTGGTAACTAAGTTAATAACTGGTGAAACAGATTTGAAACTAGGCTTGCCTGATTCCAAAGCATTTAGTCTTTTCCTTATGTTTCCACAAAATTATGACAGTTGGAAAACTACAATAATTGGCCAGACCCCTATAAAGTTCTGATAAAGTAAAATATGAAGAATTAAAGATTCTTAAGGCATATACAATTACTATTCAATTGTACTAATTTATGGATGGTTAGTAAACTTTCATAATCCTTGGTGACCCATAATAAAAGGAGCATGCAGAGTCAGAAAAATCAATGCATAGAAGAAGAAGGGACATGGAATCTGGAACCTAACTACTTCTCTCTTTCTTTAGGGCACTATAAATATTGTGCACCCAAAAGAAAGAGAGACCTTGCTGGCAATGCAGCAGGGCCTCTGGAAGAAAGGGAAGGTGAAAAAAGGCACATAAGATTATTTCTGTGATTGAACTTGGCACCTTGAGCTAAGCTGCTGCCCGGATGGCTCAGTGGATGGAGCGTGAGCTCTTAACAACAAGGCTGCTGGTTCGACTCCCGTATAGCATGGTGGCTACTCCCACCTGCAACTAAGACTGAACACAGCACCTTGAGCTTAGAGGCCACCAGCTGCCAACGGGCAGAAGGATGGCAACTGGCGCCCTCCACAACGAAGACTGAAGAACAACAACTTGGCTGGTCCCCTTCCCCAATTCCCCAACACTGTTCCCCTCTCCCAATTCCCCAATTTTAAAAAAGAAAAAAAAAGATTATTTCTGTGATGATAAAAAGCAGATACATTTCAACCTTCGGCTTAGGTCATAAACAAACAAACCTCTCTAATACCTGTTATACAAATATACTTCCTTAAAATCCTAAGAAAGCACACCTGACATTATCTATTCTAAAAACTTAAGTCAGAGTGATTCTTTGTAGTTTTAAAAAAGAAAACTAAGTTATTTGGAGGATAGAGGGTGTAGATGGGGGGGGAAAAATAAGACAGTGGTAAAAGACATTAAAATGATAAATGATATGATTAAGCTAAATGCTGACTTTTTACTTCATCTTTTATGAGTGAGGGAGCATCCTTGTACCTTGGTAGAGGTAATTTTATTTAAAATACTATTTTCAAAATGGCTTAGCATGACATCTTGTCAGAGTTACAAAATGATCTCATAAACCATCTAATCCAACATTTAATGATATTCCAAATGGTCTCAACATAAAAGCACGGATAATGCCCATTTGAAAGTTAACTAATTTTAGACAGTTCCTGTTTAATTTTGGGACTCTTTTACCATTAACTTTTCCATACGTACATTATCTCTATAACAAAATAAATGCGCACATGCGTGCATGCATGTACACATGTGCGTGCATGTGCACGCGCGCACGCGCGCACACGCACATGCACACACATGCACACACATCACACTTCCAAGGTCATGTCTAAAGAGGCATGGGCACCAGTAACACCAAAATGCTAGTCTATCTAAAATCCAGCAGAACATGTAGAACTCAGAAAACAGCCAAGACTAGTTAACTTCTATGTATAACTGCTGATTGGCCCTCATCACCACTAAACAACTATCATAGTTTTGCAACTCCAAATCCTGTGATCTTTTGAGAAGTCCCTCATATTGCTCCATGATTTTCCTACTTTCAGTGTGAGAAAAACAGAAGTATCTACAAGTGGTACTGGCCAAAAACTGGCCAAACTTACAGATTATATGTTCCGTAATTACTTAAGATTAGCTAGCATATTGACCTAATCTTCATAAAAATAATTCATTAATATCAGAAACAAAATATTAGGTTGAATGGATGTAACACTTGGCTCAGAATGAAATTTCTTAAGTTCTTTGGTTCATACAGCACAAAACCTAAGATGAAAGTTAAATTTTATTACTTTTTAAATAATTTAATAGGATCACATATTTAAATCCTAAATGGTAAGGAACCCCCCCCCGCCATTAGAGTTTAATGTTTAATAAAATTTGCCAAATAGAAGGATTTAAATTAATATCTTTTTCTGAATTTGTTCATTTTGAAATAGTAATGGTCACTTTTATAACTTCCTTACATTTAATTTTCCTCCAAGAAAATACCTATTAAATTATATTAGATTTAAATAAAATTTCATTAGATGTGATGTACTTTACTTGCAATAAATAATTTCTTGAAAAAAGGCATAAAGGGTGGGAATTCAAAAAAGCTTAACACTGGAAATAATTTCAACTTAGATATAACCATATACTCATATATAAACCTGGACCACTATTTAATAACAGCTTTAGAACCTCTAGTTGTATCAAGGGTAGATACATAAACACATACTCATACTCACATATACACATATTATACATAAGTGATACAGTCTGCATCACTTTTGGATAAGCTAAATGTGAGGAATATAAAAATAAGAAAAGGGAACCAACCTCATGCTTAGAAAAATAGCAACCACTATTTTTAAGTATTTTCTTCTCTAAAAATAGTCATCTCTTAATTATAGTCAGTAACTCAAAGCAGTAGCACTGATAATCCAAAAATCCTTTATGTTTGGCTTCATAATGTACACAAGTTGAGGGGGCAATAATTTACCTTCTCAATATACAGGCAACATAACAAAATGAAATCCCTATAGTACATGCTTTTAAGAAAACTTCTCAAGGTTTTGCATGTTTTGTTCTGAAATTGAAAAAAATATTTTTAAAGGTTAATATAATAATTATGAATATCTAGAAACTTCATGATATACCAAAGTTGTGTAGAGTAATTTGGTAGTAAAGGACGGTTGTTTTGGAATTTTATAACAGTACAGTAAAACAAAAGTGGTCCTATTCATCCATTAAAAAATAGATTTTAACAATGTTCCTAAAATTCTTATTTTATATTCAGTATAATTTGAATCTATGCAATTTACTCATTATTCTAAAACTCACCTTTATATTCTGCACCCAATCTCAACATTAAACGCATAGGAAAAACCTTTGCCCAGGGAATCTCTAGCTTCTGGATAAGAATTCCACAAAGAAAAGGATTACTAGGTAATGGGAGATCATCAAGTTTCTGAAAAGTAGGTTTAATAAACAGAAATCCTCCATGGTCCTTGCTACTGAGGAAACTCTCGGTGAAGGTAATATTGTCCAAGTTTTCTATGTATTTTCCTGGAAATAAAATCATGAATAAAAAGATTTTAAGTTGTTTTAAAGATGCATTCTGAATTTGAATGTCCCAATATAAACTTTCTTAAACAAAGGCAATGCAGAATATATTTTTTCTTCTTCCCACTCTTGAAGAAGTATCTATTAAATACCTTGTGTGCACAAAGCTCTGTTATTCCCGGAGACTGAGGATTGTGAAAATTTGAAAATGTTTCTAACCGTAAGTTATTGAAAGATTTTTCTCCTTACTGCATGGTCAAGTGAAAAATTATCATGTTCCCCCCAATCTTGTACATACAGTAAGAAAAGTATACTGATATTTTTTTTAAAAGTTAAGAAGGCAAACATATTTTCATTTTTAAAATAAAAATCTGTGTAAAGACACTAATCACATAAAATGCTAGATTAAAGGAGACTGAAAATGATAATTAAGATCTTCTAAGAAATAAATCTCTTCACAAAATAAATCTTTAAAGCAGTTATCATAGTCAAAGCATAAATGCCTTCAATTAATTTATCCATCCCCTAGTCTGAACAGTTCAAAATAAAATGCTATACCTTTTAGAGCATCCTTATATATGGAGATAAATAGTCTGAAGATGTCCTTAGGAATAGTATCTTCATTTGGCAAACATAACAATAGAATAATAATTTCTGCCTGTCCCAAGCCATGCAATCCATTGGTTGAGAAGTACCAATATTTGTCTGAGGAATCTTAAGTGATAAAAGCATACAACTATAAATGTCAACTTCTATTAATAAAGAAAACTAAATATAATTGTCCTTTGCACGAAGCACAATTTTTCAAATTCCTTATTTTTCCAGAGTTCTCCTCACAAAAACTTCAAATTGAATTGTATAATAGCATTAATGTAAAAAAGAGAAAGGATGAAAGATTATTTTATGGAGTCAATTAATAAATAATACTAAAATAAAAGATACACTAATATGCTGAAATGTAGTGGGTAAGAATCAGGTTAGTTCCAAACAGAATGAAAAGCTGAGAGGTGCCTTGTTGAGTAACTGAAGATTATTTATTAATAAGGATTCTTTACTTCCTTACTTTAAATTAGGTCACATGTCATTTACTTTAAAACTGTCTTTATTACTACTAAATCAGGGCTCTTGCTTATCTCAGTTACCAAATTTCAATTTATCTAAAAGCTATATGAAATACAATTAATTATATCATGAGCATCAAAATACAGCTCAGCTATGAGCCCATGACCTTAACACAGGACTGACTGAGGGATACTAGTAAAAATCTATAAATTTGTATTTCAAGTCCCACTGAATATAAATTTGCAAAATTTATTTATATTCATATTTGGCTAAAAAAATATCCAGTGTTGCTTAGTTTTCATGATTACCAGTCAAAATCTAACCTGAAGATGTAATTAACTCAAAAATCCTGCTTATCAATTAGCAAAGAAAGATTAATTATTACTTACAAAATACTAACTTGACATTCACAAGTAGATTAGCATTTAGGACAAATGTAACAGGATGAAAACCTTCGCCTTCAAGAAGCAAAATGATCTGCTCATGAGATGGGTGTTCTTCTACTACAGGCACTAAATCATGAAAATGACATAATTAGAATAAATATGACTTCCTGTTAAATATGCTTGCAATGAAAAAAACAATTATAAATCCACCAATGGTTTGAGCAAATTTACAAAGAAAAACAAATACATTTTGTAAAATTAATCAACATCCTGGACAACTGTTATATACTTATTTTTACTTTTCTATTTATACAAAGATATTAATACTATAATACATATAAATCCTAATGTCATATATAATATATATGCAAATAAGTTGATCAAACAGCATATTTATACAATTTTAACACCTTTAAAATTTTAAAACATTTTTTTGTAAAGTAGATTCCAGTTTGCTGGCAACTCCAATTACAAATTCTGAAATTTACTACTCTGTGAAAGTGGTCTAGACCCAAGTTGCACATACTGCTTGTTGACATATGCCCTATATTAGCATCAAGTGGCAAAAAAAAAAAAAAAGATCTTGACAGTCAATAGGAAAATATGCATGGCATGCAAGAACAGGGCTTGAGGTATTTTTGTCACTATAGCCAGGTTCATGAAATAGCTCCTACTGGCAGAAAGAGATCCTAAGCTCCATTCCCCTCCCTACATTCTCATGCACAGAGCATAATCACTTCATGTTGCAGGATGCAGCATAATGTATCCTAGGGAACCACTGAGGTCGGAGCTAGCTAGCCACAGGATCTTCAGCTTCGAAAAGACCTTAAAGATCATCTAGGTTCTCTTCTTCTATAAGGAAACTGAGGCCCAAAGAGATTATACAACATGCTTCAATCATACACATATTAAGTAGAAGAGAAACTAATATTCCTAGCTTTGTCATCCAATCCAATACTCTTTTCTTCAGACACTATGTTCCTTTAAAAAAATGATATGGAGTCAAAACTCTAGTACAATGGAAATATTGTCAGGGCTAAAAGTCTGTGAGTTTCTCTATTGTATTGCACTTCTTGCCTCACTCTAAATTAAGGAGTTAGATAAATGAATCATACTCAATTCATCTCAAAAGTTCAGATCTTTTTAGAATTTGTTTTTATATAATAAGACTTTATATAAACTAGAGTTACCAAGCCATAGTACATATTTCAACCAAATTGTCTAAGTTTAAAATAATGCATTTTATACAACACTGACACAATTTATCAGTACAACCTTTAAAAAAACAACAACAAAAGCCTGTTTTTAAAATTTAAATAACTGCTATCCTACCTGGTCCTTTTTCTCCAGATGCAACCAGAAGAGGGGGCAAGCTGTCCTCATCATCAGGCAGAAGGCTGATCTTACTGCAAACATTCTTGTCAATGCCACACAACAACCTGTAGTCTGAAACACCAGCACCAGGTAAACTGCTGTTAACTAAGATGCCAGTAGGACCAGATGGTTCCTCAATTTCTGCAAAAACCTCATCATCTGGCATAAAAGAGCCAGAAGTGGATAACACCTCAGTTCCTGTGCTTATGGGCAGTTTTTCTACAATTGGAACCTGAGAAATAGGACTCTGAATGATCTCGTTTCTTGTAATATCTATCTCATTGTTCGGTTGTTCCACTGTAGTAGAATGGGCATGATCCACTGTGTTTACCGTCTGTAAAATATAGAATAAAAAACAAATCAGTTCATATTCTCTGTTGAACTGTGAAATGTTGATCTCTGTAGCCAAATATATCTTTTTAATAAAAACAAATAAAACCACAATGGGCTCAGAAATTCTTCAGAAGCCAAATTTCCCAAGAAAAAGTACTATTTTGCTTCTTTAAATTCAGGAAGGAGCATCAGGTTTAGCTTTACTGTATGCTCAGGGTACATATTCATGACTTTAATTTTATAGACTGGAAAGAGGAAGAAAGGAGAACTCCAAGATCCTGTACCATATCACACAGTAAGCAAGCTTAGTTCATCTTAAGGTTCTCCTTCTCACGACAGCCAAAAAAGCTTTGGGTAAGCAAAGGAGAGAAAAAGGGGGGGGAAATAGGGAGGAGAGTGGCTAGGAAGCAGAGCGGTAAACATGGTCCACAATAGTAACCACCTAGAATAGACTACACTTAAACTCTGCTTCAATAAAGCCCCTTTCTTTAGATTGGTCAAACCTGAGTCAATATTAAATGAGAATCATTTATAAACTCAAGTAATACTTACTATTTAGTATTTAGAACTTTCATTTTGTTAAAATATCAATTTTGTTAAAATATTACTAAAAAACATACTTTTGGTAATTATGCCATTTGTAAAATCTAGCTCATGGACTCAGACAAATAGCATATGGTATATGTGAACTTGAACAGAGCATTATACATATCCATGTTGTCTAATGTATGTACCCAGGACAAGCCAGGTAACTGGCACAGAGTAGATGCTCAATAAATATGTTTAATGAATAAAAACACTGCTACTTCAAGTATTACTACTTGCTTCTATGAGTATTTAGCTACTTTACAAAGAGAGTCCTTGGGCTGGGATTCTGTACTATGTATCTTCTATTTAACACTTAGCACAGTTGTGTCAATGCTAACAAATACCGCCATCAGATACTTTACTAAATGTTTGAAAATAATTAAACAAATATTAGTCTAAATCTCAGTTCTATTTCACTATGCCAGTTATTCTCAAACTGTGGTCTGGGGATCCCTGGGGTTCCCAAAACCCTTTCAGGGAGTTAGTGAGGTCCTGGAATTTTATTCATATAATTTAACCATAACAACGTATCATAACAGACTGAATATAGAAGATGTGAGAATCTGTCTTCTATTAAGCCAGACATTAAGCCAAAAATGCAAAATAATGTTGTTCCTCTCACTAAACATTTGTTTTGGAAATTTTTCATAAAAATATTATTTCTATTAATATAATGAGTTTATTTGTAATTTTTAAAATACAGTAATTATCAATAGGTGTAACCCACATAACTTATAGTTCTTTGGCGTGCTCAATAACTTTTAAGAGCCATAAAGAGGCATTGAGAACAAAATGTTTGAGAATCACTGCCTTAAAATGACATTGAAAAAGGTAAAATCTAAACTATATTCACTACATCATATATTTCTCACTTTAGGAAGCTTGTAACATTTAAAGTAAGTACTCCAGGGCCGGCTGAGTGGTGCGTTGGTTAAGAGTTGGCTTGGGACGCCAGCTCTGAGCAGCAGGGTCCCAGTTCGGATCCCACATGAGGGCCAGTGATGCTGCGCCCTCTACAGCTAAGATGGTGAACAACAGCTCGACCTGGAGCTGGGCTGCCGTGAGTCGCCAGCGATGACGTAGGCTGCAGACCCTGCTGTAGTGGGCTGCTGTGAGCTACTGTTTGAGTGGCTGGCAGCCAACATGAGTGGCCAGCAGCTGGCATGAGCGGCCATCTAATGGCCAGTGAGTAACTGCCTCACCCGGGAAGAGCACAATGATCGTAATACCAGCATGGGCCAGTGAAGCGACGTCCTCCAAAACTGGACTGAAGAACAAAAGGACAGCAACTTGTCTGTTCCCCTCCCCATTCCCCAATAAAATCTTAAAAAAATAAAAAAATAAATAAAAAAAGTACTCTAATAATCACACAAGGAATTACATACAAAATAAAATTTTATTAAATTAACAAGTCATTCTTTAGATTCCTTACCAAGGGCAGATCTGGTACGACAGGGCTTAGAAAGTCTTCAGAACATCTTTTACTTCCAGTTGATAACTTTGCTGTATCTGCAACTTCACCATTGGGCAATAAACCATCTGCAAACCATACTCTCTTCTGTTCTTTGGAGGATAATCCTAGATTCAGTTTAAAAAGGAAAGCATTTTTAACTTGGCAATATTGCAATGATTTAATACAAAATGGGTCAGGAAATATTTTCAAAAGCTTTTGCTATCCATTGTCAAGCTTTTCATTCTCAGGGTTGCAAAGACCTAGAGAAATGTCCTTATGGGATTCATCTACCCAGAGTGGAAGTCTTTTTCTAATTCATACAAAGGCAGGATGACACTGGGAATCACATACTCAGAAAAGAAGTGGACAGGACAGGTTGCATCTTAAAGACAGAGGGGTCAGGTTTAAAACCTATATTATTAAAATTAAGTTTGTGAGTATGGAGTGGAGACTGAATAAAATTTAGAGACTAAGGCACAGGAGGGAAAAATGGACTAGACCAGAGCATGGCAGATCAGCAAAGAAAAACATATGAAGAACAGAAAGAGGCATAAAACATCTAAAAAAACAAACAGGATCACTTGTGCATCACGGGTCATTTCTTACTTTTAACTTATTTAACTAGAGAAGTGTAATATATTTTATTCTTATAATGTAGATATTAAACTTTATTAATATTTATTAGTATTTTCCTCCCATATTTAGAGGAATTAACTAGATATCAGCATTGTATTTGTTCTCTTTTCTTATAAAGCATCTACAGAGGCAGGTTATAAAAACTGCTGCCAGAGGACTTTAAACAATGTAAAAATAAAAAAGATCAATATCTACCTTCAGAACATAATACCGATTACACTGAAAAAAACCAGAATCGTATACGATTTTTGCAATATGGGTATACATATTAAATAAGGTATCTTTCTTGTATCTGCAGTTATTTTATAATGTAATAATTTAGGACACAATATAACAGAATATGTAAATATTTTTAAAAGCAAATTTATTCATCTTTAGAGCTATAACATACAACCATATATATTGATTCTCCTTATTTAAGTTATAATGACAAATGGAAAGTAGCTATTAGGTGAGAGATAAAGTCTAAAATAATTGCCAGAAGTATCTAAATTTGCCGTTACCTGAGTTACAGTTCTTTTCTAGCATGTTATAAACTAATAGTTTATGTTTAAAAATGTGCATGGGCTTATAAAAAAGAATTATATCTTGCCATTTGCGACAACATGAATGGACCTAAAGAGTATTATGCTTAGTGAAATAAGTCAGACAGAGAAAGACAAATACTATATGATTTCACATATATGTGTAATCTAAAAAACAAAATAAATGCACAAACAAAACAGAAACAAATTCATAGATACAGAGAACAAATTGATGGTTGCCAGACGGCAGGGGTTGGGGGTATGGGTGAAAAAAGTGAAGGGATTGAGAAGTACAAATAGCCATTTATAAAAATAGTCACAGGGATGTAAAGTACAGCACAGGAAATATAGTCAAGAATATTGTAATAACTATGTATGGTGTCAGATGGGTATTAGACTTATCAGGGTGATAACTTTTTAAGTTATATAAATGTCTAATCACTATGTTGTACACCTGAAACTAATATAATATCGTATATGTCAATGGTAATTGAAAAATTAAAAAAAAAATTTTAATACACATGAGCTTGACTCAAGATCCTAAACTACAACAGGTTGTAAAAGAAACAGAGAGCCCAAAGATATAAAAAAACATTTTTTACTGTGGTAAAATATACATTCAAAAACAGACTTTTAAGGAAAGGCAGATATGCCAGTTATTTGCCTACTGTCTCTCAAACCCAAATCTACTCTTCTCCATGGTCTGTCTTTGATGCGAGACTAGAAGTCTGGAAAGTGCAACTCCCAGACTCCCTTGCTGGTTGGCTCTAGTCAGGTTCCACCAATGGCAGGCACTGGTGGGCAAGTAGAAAGTGGGAAGAGAAGGAATTCTTTGTTTCTAATTCCTGCCAGGATTCTTGAAGCAGCCGCACCACCAGGTACAGCTGCATGTCCCTTGCGTTTCAGTCGTACTCCTTTACATCAACCCTGGAACACTCCTCAGTCATCTGAACACTCACCCTATAGGCCCCTTGATGGTTCCAGCATTTGCCTCTTGGTGTCCTCCAGAAGTCACAGCACCAGCCACAGGGTACCCCAAACCCTGAATTCCAGGTCTGAGAACCAGGCACTTCCTGATGGTCTGTGCTAGCTCCAGTATCAGTGCCTCTCACTTTTCATTCCCTTGGCCCTGAGGTGGCAGTTGCTTCCTGCGGTTACTCATCTCTGAGTCCCTTTTGCTCTTCCCACCTTCTAACCCACATGCATAACCAGTTCCCTGTATTAAATTCCTTCTGATATCTAGTCTGGTTTCTCTTTCCTCACCAGACCTTGTCACCACTAGAAAATTTCTGTTTTAATAATTTATCTTTAGTCTAAGATACAGCATTTTCCTTTATTTACCTTCAACACTTGGTTGTTTAAGTGCTGAGATTGGTAAAGTTGTGGGTGAAGGTATACTGGACGTTTGCGTCTCCTGAAGAGGCTGGATGGTGGCACATTCATCAGAATGATTAGATTTAAGATTAGAACCAGTTGGGCTCATCATCCTTTCAAACGCATGAGCTATAAAGGGGGGGGAAAATAACATTAAAATCTCAGATGTTTTTGAACTTCAAAGTAATGGTATATATTCTATTTTTCAAGTTGTAAGAAGAAATCAATGGCTTAGCAAGAAAAAGAAGTGGCATTTGACAAAGATAATGTCTTTACTAAACTTGGGAGCACTCCAGTTCAGTATAAACTACCCATTCATTATTTCAATATTATATTTAGCTTATGTTTGGTATCTACTATAGGAAATTATTGTTACTTAACATGACTATTTTTGCCCTGCACCCCTAGAGTCTATTTCTAACATAGTTCAGAGTGATTCTTTTAAGACATAAATCACATCACACTGTTTCTGTTTAAAATTCTTTAATTATTTCCCAACTGGAGTGAAAATTTAGGTTGTTACAATGGCTCACAAGACCCCAAGGGGCTGCATCCCGACCTCCTCTGCCTTCCCAAACACTGTCTGACCTCATCTCCTACTACAATTGCTCATGATCCAGCCACCCAGGCCTCCCTGTTTTTCAACACATCAAGAAGCACTCTCCTAGCTTAGGGTCTTTGCTCTTATTTGTTCCCTCTTCCTGGAATGTTCTTCCCATAGATACTCAACAGTTTTATTCTCTTACCTCCTTCAAGTTTCTGCTCCTGAGATATTATCATTAAGCCTTACTCTGACCACCTTATAAAAATACTACCTCTTGCCACCAATCTGTTACTATCTACTCCTCTTGTTTTCTTTTATTTTCAATTAGGATTTTACCATCTGATATTCTCTTTACTTACTGTCCATCCATTTCTCCCACATTAGTGAACTCCATGAGAACAGGAAGTCTATTTTGTTCTCAGCTGGAACTCCAAAATGCAGAATAATGCTTGAATATTGCTGAATGATTTTTCATCCAAATAACACGGAATAGCACTGGCAGATTTCCCTTCAGCATATCTCCAAATTGATCTGCTATAAACGCCTCCACTACTATAATAGCCTTCCCGAAGTAAGACTAAATGTTAGCACTCCCACAAAATGGCTTCCACTAACCAAGTGAAATCCAAACATCTTCCTTGGGGTTTCAAAATAATTTCCAACTTCCCCTAATCAACTTAACGGCACTCACACATGTGCTTCCTTGACACTTACAATCTCATCAACACCTTCTCATTATCCACAATCTCTATTCAAACTATTTTTTTCTTTGACTCCTTCATGGAAAGTGTCTCACAACCCTTAAGCCATCTTTCTTCTCTTATGTAATAACATTAAATGATCTTCCATTTTCAACCCTAAAGTAGATGTTAAAATAACTTTTAATTATGTTTTCTTGTGGTGTGTAAATTAAGGACAAAGAGAACCATAAATGAAATTATATTCTGTAAAGTATCAACATAGAATAAAAAATAAATCCATTTGAAAATATTTTCTTTGATAAATAAACTCAATACCCTACTGAGCCTCTTTAATGACTATCTATCTTCTCCCCTTCTGGATTCTTACAGAGTATGTTTTAATGTTCACCTAAAAATCTGACCTATCAACTCAAATGTTTCAAACCTTCATGGCTGTTTTATACTTATTTAACTGGGGAGAGCTCATTTTGTGGGAGCTTGCTTTAATATTTCTGAATTCTTGCAGGCTGCCTTGGTTAACAGCACCAGCAGTGGTCTTCTAGGCTATAGAAACGTTTAGGATAAAACAAAACAACTACAAGTACTTAAACTAAACTCTTCATAAACAATGGTGGTAACATGGAAATATAAAAAGATTTACACTCTATTATCTTCCAGGACAGAGGTCAACAGCAGGTAGTAAAGCAGCTTACCTCAGGCTAACAGACTCACATCAGAGCTTTTTGGAGGACTGCTGAAAAAATTTATCTTCATTCAAAAGAGAAAAACAAATTATTATCAGGTATTTATTCACCTGGCTACCAGGAAGCAGTGCCTGAGCTAGTGCACAGGCCTGGTCTTAAAAAGTCCCAAGTAATATTTGCTGGGAATTAAACTGACAACAAATCTTTGAAAACGTCGTCAAGAAGTACGCAAAAGAACAAACGTGTATTTGAGGGGAAAAAAACACAAAACACACACACACACACACAACTGTGAGAACTCATAAATAAGACCACCAAGATTACTGCTGATAATAGCTAGGGAGCCAGGGAAACAATGGGAATCACATACAAACAAAATGCTAAAAATGAGAAGGGGAAAAAAATATGAGACAAAAATGGGCAAAAAGCGTGGCAGTCCTATACATCTATCTATAAAATCATAGATATTACTACCTTATCTTTATTCTCATTTTACATTGCAACTTTCTAAAGGAAGGGAACTATTATCTGTGCTATTACTATTTAAGATTGAATACTATTTACTGGTAGGTAATCTATGAATGTTTAGATTTAAATGATGATGATGACAATGATGGCAAAAACAATAGGCAGATGAAATGCAGCATTTAGGGACTTGGTACCTGTTAAAAGTTAATGAACTGCCACTCCAGAAACTGAATGCTTCCTCCCCAGACTGGTAGTATTAATTGTGACAGTGGAACAAAAAGAAGAGAAACCAAGCCTTGGGATGTCCCACCTAAGCCAGATAAGTCAACACTAGGTCCTCGCCTTAAGAAAATAAAGAAGTTTATCTTTGTCACAATCCAATTGTTTTTAAAATGTATTCAATTACTTAAAGAAAATATGTCAGGTTACTACTCACCTTTACTAATGGTCTCATAGCAGACCACACATACTCTTGCTTCCTTTTCTAGATACTGCAGTTTACACTTCCTATTACAACAGACACCACAAAATACCTATAAAGAATAAAATATCAAATTTGATTCTGTTTCAAGCATACTTATACCTACTGGAGGTAGGGGGAGGGGAGGCCCAAAATCTCATTAACCAAAAATCATTTTTTTCTGATTATATAATTTTTTTAATCACTATAATCATAGACAGTTATTGAAATTTTTTTTTTTACTTGAACGAGGTTTCTGCAATTTAAAATTGTATCTGACAAGGAAATTACTTCAAATCCATTCTGTTCACTGGAAGGGAATAAAATTTTCTTTAATGAATAAGTTCAAAATTTAAAACGCTTTCTGTAGTTCTTTATTCAAAACTTTTAAAAGTACAATATTATTAGTTTTCTATACGAGTAGGGTTGATCTGACACCAACATATTACTGAAAAATGCTGACTAAAAAATACAATTTTATTTTTATAGCCAACTCTTGGGAGTTTATAGACTCGCAAGGCAGTAAGACTGCAAATAAGGTCAGCTTCAGTGTTCTGAACCCCGTGCACGGCAATCTGCTTTTCTGTGTCTGTTTCCGTGAGTACAGGCCACAACACTAGCTGCAGTGTGGTCTTGAAATTAAGTACTCAAGGACAAAGGGGGATTTGGCTGAATTTGGAATATCTGATATGTTAATGTTAGACTGGTAAGGACACGCATTCTTAGAAATCACAAAAACTAGTAATCAGTGTTCCTCATTTCCCAGCACAGTATGTAAAACACACGACAATGTGACACTTATTCAACTTCTCACCCGATCTGTAAAATGACAATGCTATATATATTTCCATATAGGTGAAACATGGTCATTTTAAATTAACTGAATCTTTTACATTAAATTTCTGTCACATTAAATTTCATTTAAAATGTCTCAAAAGAACAAGACTTAAAGATTTGTATAACTTACTTTCCCACATGCTCGGCAGTGGTGCCGCCGTTTTGTAAAAGTAAATTTGGCTTGGCAGTTCATACAGTTTGGAGCTTCTGAATCAGGAACCCAAGTAGGTTGTTTCTGGCCCAAAACTAGGCCTTCTTTGCAAGTGTTGGCAGGTAGAGATTCTTCATTTGTAGTTAGATGACTGGATCCACCTTCAAAATTGCTTTCTATGTCAATGTAATTCGAGTTGAAGCTAACCTGAGGGTCGCTTGTAGTATCTGCAGTACAAGTGTTTGGATCAATGGTATTTGTTATGCTGGGGTCACTTTCAGGCATATCTGGAACATCCAGCTTATTTGGTTCCTTGGAACTCCTTGTTCTTGATGGAACGTTAAATAACTGCTTAGGTCTGGCTCCTCCAACATGAACAGATTGACTGTTACTATCAGAGACTGATAATTCATTCGTCATCTCAGATTTATTGCTAGATAACCCTTGTTCAGTTGGAATTGTACATTTTTCCCCTAAAGAAAGGCCACTGTTTTCTGTTGTATTCTGTTTATCAACTGTTTCACATATCATATTAATACCAGGACTTTCCCCAGTAGCTCCTGCTTCATCACTGAAATATGTATTACTGACGTTTCCATCATCCAGGCCTTTCAAATCTACCTGACTCATTTCAGGTTTTGAGTCATTTACGTTTTCTTCCAATGACTCTACATTACTGGTCTGAAGATACTGTTCACTCAGAAAGGCATCCAGTTCGGCATCACTAACTAGTATGCCACTTTTCGTGCCTTCATCAATATTAAAGTAACCTAAGTCTTGCCCATCCGTATCGTTGTTTGAAAAAGTGAGACCTTCATAATGATCAGGAGGCTCTGGAGCATTAGCACCAGAAAGCTTCATTTGAGATTCTGCAGCTATAGAAGAACCGGTGTTATCAGAGTAATCCAAAGAGTCAACTCTGATTACTGTCTGGTCAGGATCTACCTTTCTATCTCCCATCTTTTCAGTTAATGGCTGATGAAGTACGCTTTCACATTTTTCCTGTTTCAAAAGATCAGTCTCCTTCAATGGTTCCCCACCTAGGTTAACACTCTTTTGTATTTCTTCATGCACAGTCACTGCTTCTTGCATATTATCTTTATATTCATTCTGAGGTAAACAATCGTCATGCACTTTAGTTTCATTTAATGATCCACACAAAGACCCAGGCACTGGAAGACAGGACAGTGAGGAGTATACAGCTTCACTCGAAACATGTGAAGTTGAAGGGAAATCTTGCATTACATCTTTATCATCTTTAAGATCTAAATTTCTTGAGTCTTCTTTTGCAGACTGTTTTATACATACAGCAGTCCTATCCTCTTGAAAGGAGAAGTCAGGTAATTTGAAATTTTCATCTCTTGAATTTGAATCATTTAAACATAAACCTTCGTTTTTTGGAAGATTGCAAGCCAAAGCATTTGGGCTGCCTCTTTCTTTTAAACGTTCTGTGGCAGCTGTGACTGCCATGTGTACCTCCTCTTCTTCCACACAGCCATCAGCTTTTACTAATTCGCATGGCTGGTTCTTGTGTTGTGGGTTGTCTTTGGCATCAAACGTTTTGGAATTTTGTTGAGTCAAGGCAGATGGCATATTCAAATCAACAAATGGTTCTAGCTGATTACAGATCTTTATATCCTTTAAATTTTCTTTTCCACTATAATTACATGAATCTGAAACTACTGTATCTACATTTATATCCAATTCTCTAGTTCCACAGATTTCTCTATTTGGTAATTCAGAGTGGACATCTTTCTGGTCCTCCCTGACAGTATTATTACCATGGTCTGTTGAAGAAACACAAACAGTTTCTGACACTGAAGACAAATCCAATCCAACCAAAGAGTCTGTACTAGACTTAAAATCATCTGGCAATAATTTTTTAATATCTTCTTCATTATTAGTTACATGAACTAAGTTACCCATGTCACTTATCAGGTCACAGACAGGTTTACTACATCGTCCCATATATAAAGGCTGGATTTCATCTGAGGCGCCACCATCCACAGAAGAAAGGAGATCAAGTCCTGTTACATTTTTTTCATTTTGTATAGAAGTTAGTCCCTCATGTGCTTTTTCGTTCACTGAAATCTGATTTGTTTCATAGCATGTTTCTGATGAGGCACAATAATTAATGCACTGTTGATCCTTTGGTAGCGGTGAAGTTAATTGTGAAGGAGCCAACTCTGAAGAAACCGAACAGTTAGAATCATATGCATTTTGTGCATCTTGGAGATAATCTTGTTCATCTAATTAAAATAGAGATACAACGTTATTCAGGAGAACCAAATCAAAATTATTACAAAGATGTTATGTTTTCTAAGACTTCCAAGCTAACCTTTTTTTTTNTTCTGGAAAGTTATTTGTCATATTAAGAAATGTTCACATAACATAATTCAATAATTTTCCTTCTGGAAATTATACGAAGGTATTCCAAAATACAAAGATTTATATGGAAAAACATTAAGGAAAGTAAACAAGGCACCCAAAACACCAATGTCTTTCATATACAAATTCAATTATACTTTGTATCACATTTATTTGTTTATGGGTGTTTCCTCTGTGCAGTGCATTATGCTGGCAGTTGTAAAGATTATAAAGATGGATAATCATGACTTTTACCATGAAGTTCACAATCCACAGTGTCATTCTTTTATTTACTAGCATAAATAGTTGAGAGGTTGCTATAATAAAATAAGATTACAAGATCTTTGTGTTGATTCTGGATCAATTAAATTTTCTGTGATTTGTTGAGTGGAATAAAGAAGAAATCTACACATCAAAGGCAGTGTCAAAAGAGTACTTGGAAAAGTTTGAGTAATAATTACTGAAAAATTCCACATATTATCTTTAACTTCTAAAGACCCAATTTATAACTGAATGGTTTCTGGACTTGAGGAAATCATCCCAATTGTAACATATCTGGCCAATTTATTCCCTAGACTAAATAGTCATTGCTTGGATCATCAGCAGTTTATTATTTTGAAAGGTAACCAGAATCTAGATGATTTTAAGAGGCTTAAATTCCACAGTAATATGAACTTCCAAAGCTGTTTTCATAAGTAATCTGAGTGGAGAGAATACCAGAAGCAAATGAAAATAACTATTACAATTATTCATTTGTTCATGGATGGTCTTTATACTAACAAGCAATTTTAGAACTAGGGCTTTATTGCTCCAAAACACAGAATGTGATCTGGAACTATTAGTTAACCATTAGTATGTAAGTGCTACATAACCATGTTAAAACATTCACGTTATGAGAAAAAGGGCAACGTCTTTTTAAAAAACTATCTGCTGGCCAGGGCCAGTTAGATCAGCTATTTGGAGCAATGTCACTAATGAAGAAATGGTTATAGTTTCGGTGACCATGAAAGCTAGTTTTTTTAATGCATAAAAAGGTTTAGAAGGAATCCACTAAAATGTTAACTGTGATTATCTTTCAAAGGTGATATTATGAGTGATTTCTCCTCCTTTCTAGTTTTCCATATTTTCCAAGTTATTTACAATAACATATTACTTTAATAATCCAAGAGGGAAAAATGGAACATTTTCTTCTAAAACAAGTATTGCTAAATTCATAATCGAGTCAATTAATTACCTTACATTCATTATCCAATCTCTGCATACAGTATATTTATTGCAAGACTGTGAGTCATAAGAGAGAAATAACTTGTGTCTGGTACTGTCTTAGAGGTGGCAACAAGGTACAGTCATTCCCAG